AGAAACCCAGAACACGGTAATTAGTGTGAGAGTTACCTCTGCATGGCCCATCCCTCCCAAACCGTCATGCCCCCTGGAGATGAGAGCAGGACAGAGGGGCAGGCGGCTCACCCACCTCCCACCCGCCGCGGGCAGCCTCTGACCTTCCCCAGAAGCCAGGGCCCGGGCCCAGCCAGAACTAGGAAGCAAGGGTGTCTCAGCTAGCACGGTGAGCGTTCTGCTTTGCACAAAGGAGGAGGTAATGTGGGAGAGAAGCCATGAATTAGTCACACTTGCTAATTAATTATTAACCACGAAGGAGTTGCCTTGGCAAGTTACGATAACTCAGCCCCTGCTTTCCTCCTTGACTGGTGCGGTGTGTAGGGTTATGCGGACAGAGGGGTGGGTATGAGAGGAGAGCCCCCTTGGCACACCCCCTCTCCTCCAGTGTTCACCGCCAGGGTCAAGGGCACACGCTGCCAGGGTCTGATGCTGGGCACACTCTGGGCTAACTCACGGCTCCAAGCGAAGCAAAGAGCACAGGACCCAAAGTTGAGAGCTTCAAGTTGTAGTTCGGCTACTGCCTGTGTTGTCCTGAGAAAGTTACCTGGCCCGGCCAGCCTCCTTTCCTCGTGGACACAAAGACTAGACAGTGTCCAGGGAAGTCCCTGTCCAGCTCTCCGCTCAGAATCTGGACCTCTTGGACAATGCCGGGCTGAGCAGGAACCCCAAACAGCCATGTAGCAGTCGCCCTCATGTGCCCTGCCAAGGCAGCCCTCCTGGCCGTGGGGACCCTGCCCCGGGAGCCCAAGGGATAAGCTCAGCTCCCGCCTCCACCAGCCCCACAGGAGTCCCTTGAGCCTTAGATATTTAAGGCTTTACTTTCAGATAAAGGCAGTTCAGGGAACATGCCCAACCCCTTCCCAACGCAGGAATCTCTCCCTGCCCTCCAGACCCTCAGCTCTAAGCGGCAAGCCCCAGGGCTGGGTCCTTAGAAGCAGTCCACCTGACTCAACAATGTCCCCAGGAAAAGGCAGACAGGAAAGAAGAGGCATAGAGGAAGGAAGGGAAACACCAGTGCAGCGTCCCTCAGGCTGAGCCACTGAGGACCCTCCTCGATCACCCGTGTGCCCCCAAAACCAGGTCCTGGGCCTCTCACTTCTTCCTGTGGAGACGGAGGCCTGGGGACTACAGCAAAACTGTAGGAAACCTACAGCAAGGGGCTCCTCATCTGGGCCCACCAGCACCCCCCTATCATCCCATGCCCCAGACACAAGGTGGAGGAGGTGGTGACGAGGGCTACTACAGGGGCTCCCCCCACTCCCGGGCCGGCCTGCCCCCCAGCCCCAAAGACCTGTTCCACCCTGCCCTGCTCTCACCTGCTTCTGGGGTTTAGTCCAGGATTCCGGGAAACACCCCCATTCCCAGGTCAGGGGGCCGAGGGGTGTCGCATGTCGCCTCAGGGTGTCCCAGGCCACAGGCCAGTCTCCCTTGTGCTCTCCTCTGACCTGTCTCCAGCTCTCTACTTGCCGCTGCCGATGGCCGCCCCTCCCTCTGGTCCCGCCTGCTGGCCTGCCTGCCTTTCCTTGTAGGCTGCCTTTCCTCCTAGGCTGCCTGCCGGGCCAGGGGAACCAGGTTACTTGTTACGACTTGAGTCAGAGGGGAGGAGCAGGTGAGCAAGTCCTTCCCTGAACTAATCCTGCCGTGGCTGTTGCCAGCAGGCAGCTCCTGGGCCTCTACGCTTCCGGGGGTGGGGTGAGGAGGGAGAGAGGGGCTCCCCGTGGAGGAACCCCAGAAGAAGGCAACGGGGGGGTCATGTCTTCATGGCCTCAGGGGACTCCAATGCAAAAGTGGTGAATGGATAGGGTGCACAATTGCTCTCCTAACCCTTAGTCTCCCTAGCAAGGAGAGAGGTCAAGGCATTTGAGACCCCCAGGAGCAGGGTGAAAGGCCACCGTCCATGGGGAATACCAACAAGAAGTTGACAGAATGACAAGAATAGGTCATGACTCTTTCCATACACAGTCATGGAAAGCAAGGCCTGGGTTTTGTCTCTCCCAAATCAGGTTTAAGGAAATTTCAGGAAGGCAGTAACTATGGAAGTCCGTATGGGAAGGCTCTAGGGTCCCCAAGAAAGCAAGAGTGGTCTCTCTTTTCATCCTAGTCATTTCCTCCCAGGATCATCAAGGCCTATTTATTTCTTACATCCATCCCTCAACAGGGTCCACGGCGCACTAAGCTGAACCCCAGTCCTAGCCCCTACGCCACAGGAGAGCCACTGGACCCCAGGCTCTAAATCCACTCCCCAAACATGAGGGACCAGGGACCGAAACGGAACTTGTTTTCTACAGGAAACAAGCCTCCAGGTCTCCCACCCCACTGATCCTCAGACAAACCCAAAACTGTTTAGAATTCAGCCCACTTCATTGGGGGAAGCAAGGGATAAGGCTACCTGTGGCTCCACGTGGAAAACACACAGACGTGATACAGATTAAGGACTACACCCCTCAAGGCTTACATCGCACCACCTCCCTTTCTCCCACTCTGATGTTCCCACTGTGTCCCTTCACGCTGGGGTATCAGCACCTCAGTATCTCTCTGGATCGCTCCCCTCTCCCAGCCCCATCTCCAAACGCCCTGTGCTCCACCAAGTGTCCCCTGTAGAGCAGAGCTGTGTCACCGGACAGAGTTCCTGTCTGCCTCCTTCCCTTCACCTGCATCCCCCACAGTCCCTACACACATACCCAGCTCACCTTCACATCTTATACACACCCTCTTTCCAAACAATGCTAGCCCCAGAGTCCTCCAGGCTGACCACTGCCTCCTCTCCCCAGGCTGAGGCTACGGGGGGCCCCCCCAACCGGGGGCAGACCCCTCCTGTGATGTGGAGCCAGCTTTGGGTGTCCCAAAGAGCCTGCAGCCCTCCCCTCCCCCTACTGGCTTGTCACATTCTTCCAAAGAAGACAAACAGAGAGATTGACTCTGAGTGGAACTAGTCCCCTTCTTCCACCTTGCCCATCACCCAGCTCCAGGTGGGGGGTGTTGGAAATCTCTGGAACCAGCCCATGGCATGTTTTTAATGCACAAAAAAGAAATGAAGAGAATCACCAGGAGAACGAATTATATTAAAATACAGTTCTAAAAACAAACACATAGTAATATATAATGCTTCTTTATTAACGTTAAACGGGATGTGGCAGTGGATAGTTTCATAGAAGCGATGAATGTAAACGATGCTTCGAGACAGAACAACTGCGATGTGACCATAAACTATCTGTGAATTCTATCAACGGCAAAGCCACAGCTACTGCCAATGGTTTCTTGCCTTCGTGATTGAAGGCAATGTTAAGTTTTTGTTAAAGGTTGGTGTGAAATAAAGATATTTCTTCCCATCTAAGTTCACAAACCCTCTGAATTCTATCCACAGATGCTTTGGTGCCCGGGACCCAGTGAAGAACCCCACTATCAGGTAATCCCCCCTCTCTGAGTTCAGAGGAGAGAAATGCAGATAATCAACTCATCGCATTGATCCTCTGGAATTTTTGTAAACCCCCTGCTCCCTCAAACTCACATGCAGCATTTCCTGACCCAGCAGAACGTGAGGTCTGGAATGCAACTAGCCAACCAATTCTCCCAAGAACCCTAGATCCAATGGGTTGGATCTCACTGTCTGCCAGGCCACTCAACGCAAAATACCAAAAGGGAGGTGGGTAGTACCCCCAGGAGCTGGCTGGGGTTCAGTGCCCTGCTGCCCGCTGGCCTAAGGGATCAGGGTTCTCAGATCAGTGCCCTGCTCCAACCCCCAGAGCATCAACACCCAGAGCACAAGTTGGTGAGGACGTGGAGTGTCCTTGAATAAAGTCAGAGTACTTGGAATCTGATTGTTCAAAGGAGAAAAACTGCATCTCTTTAGGATTTTCACTTCCCAAGGAGAAGTGCTGCATCAGGAAACTTCCACACTCTGTGGCCATCCACTCCCACAGTTTCAAAAAGTCCCTTTGAGTTTCTTCTGATATACGAGATTGGAAGTTCTTGAAAGCAAGAGCCTCATCTACCATCTTCGCATTGCCTCCAGCACCCAGCAAAGAACAGTCTCAGGCACTCCTAAGATCCCATTTAATGAATTCACAGATCAATGGTCAGCCGCCGGAGCCAGCAGTGCAGAAAGAAGGGGAATAGCCCGGGACCCTCAAGGCGAAGGAGGGTGGAAGAGGGTCCCTTAACTGGTTTCTTTCTCCACTCTTCTCCGTCCCCACTGGGAAAGGTGTCCGCCTCCAGCAGGCGATGGTGGAGTGGGTTCTAGCCAGGAATGCGCCCTGAAATCAGACCTCTCGGCTTTCCTTAAAAAGCCCCTTTGTCCGGTCCACCCTGCTCCCCTCCCCCACCGCGCCCCTCCGCATCCAGGCGGCCCGAGACTTTGCTCCTTTTGTTTGGCTGCTTTCTGGCTTCCCGGAACCTGGCCAGGGGATCCACAGGCGTGGGGAAGGTCGAAGGAGAAGGGTTGAGGAGTCGGAAATGTGCACTTTGGGTAGGAACTTGAAATTCCCACCCCCTTTGTAAATCACTCCGTTCCTGGTAGGGCCAGCTCCGCTCAGGCCACGGACCACGGGTTCAGGAGCTGGAGCCCCCCAGTTCACCCGCGCTGCGTCCCCCTAAGTTTTCCCCCTTACCTGTCCCATGGAGCTCTGGCGCCGCCCGCCTGTCCCCGCGCCCCCCGTTCCTGCCTCGAAGCTTCAGGACCTGTTTGTCCAGGCCATCTTCTCTCTCCCCGACCCTCCTCCCGGCCTTCCCTCCCGGGAGGTATTTCATTTAACTTCGGCATTTGCAGCATCCCAAATGTTAAAGATCCCAAGACATCTGTCCCCTGGGGCATACCAAGGCCCAGAGGAAAGAGGGGAAAGACGCAAGAAAGGATTCGAGATTCCGATCCAAGAGTCGGGGCGGGACCCCATGGCGGGGTGGTAAGATGCCAGCGAGAATGGGTACCCTTTGGGGACCCCGGCCCGGGGGGGCGAGACTGCCCCCTTCTCCCGCTTTGGGACGCCGGTGTGGCGGGACACCCCCGGCACTACCAGTTTCCTCCGCCCAGGCGGGAGGAGGCTCCTCTCTCCGTCCGAGGGCCGCCTTTCATCCGCGCGCTCCGGCCTGGCCGGGGGCCGTTTCCATTCCTGGAGACCCCGGGGTGAAAGAATGAGAGGAGCCGGCAAGAGGGCGCCGCGCCCCTCCCCCGCCGGCCCCGTCCCCCCTCCCCGCGAGTCCGCTTCCCCCTCGCTGGGCACCGCGGTGCTGCCGAGCCACCGCGCGCTGGCGCAGCCGCAACCGCCTCCCCCTCCTCCGGCCCGAGCCCAGTCCTCCTCCTGGGCGCCGGCTGGCCGGGCTCCGCCGCGCAAGGAAAGGAGCCCACTCCCGGTGAGCGCCTCCTGCTGTTACCGCTAGCCTGGTGCCCTCCCTCCCTCCATCCGTTCACTCACTCTCTCTCACTCACACGTCCCTGTTTTCGTTTGTGCGAGAAGTTTATGGAGCACCTACGAGTGCCCAGCACGGTGGATCAAAGTTCAAATTCTTCCCAGGATGATTCCCCAACCTAGGCGAGTAATCAAGTAGCAATAGCATCAATGAAGCAAGGGCTGAAACTCAGAGCAAAGAGAGAGAGAGAGAGGCGGTGCGCGCGGCTGGGCCAGGCTGAGGGTCGCAAAGTCTGGCGGGAGAAGGCATGTGCCCGGGGAACTGGCGGGAGAATGCAAGAAGGATCTTGAGGCAGCTATGACGGGATATACAAACGCATAGTGGCAAAGAAGCACGGGGACCTAGGAGCTGCGCGGACCTTAGGGTGTCGGATGAGGAGGAAGGAAAAGAATGAAAACAAAGACCAGGCTAAAGTGGCAGGCAGAGGTTCATCAGGAAGCAGGGCAGCTCTGTCTGGTCGTCCACGTTTCCACCATACTAAGAGGGAGGGCTCACCCGTGTTCCACCCACCAAGCTGTGTGCCCTGCCTAGAGGTGGTGACTTTTTCTCATTTGTACAGAGGCACTATTTGAGCTAAATTGACTGAAGAGCCTCGTGGGCTAAGTAAGGATTTAAGGTTTTTACCCTGAAACTGAAGAGAAGCTAATTGTATTAGTCAAGGTTCTCTAGAGACACAGAATCAATAGGATATATGTATATAATACATATGAGAGAGAGAGAGAAATGGAGAAAGAGATTTATTTTAAGGAATTGTTTCATTCTGTTGGAAATGCCGTCGAGTCCAAAATCTACAGGGTGGCCTGACATGCTGGAGACCCAGAGAAGATAGCAGTTCGAGTCCAGAGGCAGTCTGCTTGCAGAATTCCTTCTTCATCAGAGGTCAGTCTTTTTTCTGTTAAGACCTTCAACTGATTGGATGAGGCCCACCTACATTATGGAGGATAATCTGTTTTACTCAGTCTACTGTTGGTTTAAATGTTAATCTCATTTAAAAGTACCCTCACAGGGGCACCTGGGTGGTGCACAGTCGGTTAAGCATCAGACTTTTGATCTTGGCTCAGGTCGTGATCTCTCGGTTCAAGAGTCGAGTGGAGCCCCGCATCCACATCCGGCTCTGCACTGATGGTGTAGAGTAGGCTTGGGATTCTGTCTCTCCTTCTCTCTGCCCCTCCCCCACTTGTGCTAGCTCTCTCTGCCTCTCTCTCTATCTCTCTCTTAAAATAAATACATTAAAAAAACTAAAAATAAAAATACTTTCACAGAGGGGCACGTGGCTGGCTCATTTGATAGATGAGTGTGCAACTCTTGATCTCGGGCTTGTAAATTCAAGCCCCACGTTGGGTGTAGAGATTACCTAAAAATAAAACCTTTAAAAAAATAGAAAAATAAATATACCTTCACAGAAACATCTAGAATAATGGTTGACCAGATATCTGGGTACCACGGGCCTAACCAAGTTGACACCTAAAATGATCCATCACACTACTGAAAACCGTCGATCCGGAACCTAGGCAGACTCTGTTTTAGATCACTTTGATGAATGAGCGAATGGAGCGGGGAGCATTCAGAAACAGCTTTTTAGGAGGTAGACCTGGCCTGACTTCACAGTTGACCGACTACAGACGTGGCAGGGAAAAAGAGGGAAGAGTCTAGGGGTTCCCAGGTTTTTAGCTTGAGGGTTCAGCGTAAGATGTGTTCACCTGAGGACATTGAAGGTAATGTCCAGCGAGCAGCCTGGCTGGGGGTTCTAAAGCCCCAGGAAGTTTGGAGAAGGGGGCTTGAGAGCCACTACAGAGCTGCAGCTCTGGGAGTAGGTAAAATCACCCAGGAAGGGTGTGGACGATGAGAACAGGACAGGGAAGGGGGTGGGATCCTGGGCACGTTTAAGGGGTAGACAGAGGGGAAAGTGCCTTTGAAGGTAAACATTATTGGGGCACCTGGGTGGCTCAGTCGGCGTCCGACTTCGGCTCAGGTCATGATCTCACAGCTTGTGAGTTCAAGCCCCGCGTCGGGCTCTGTGCTGACAGCTCGGAGCCTGGAGCCTGCTTCTGGTTCTGTGTCTCCCTCACTCTCTCGCCCTAACCCACTCACATTCTGTCTCTGTCTCTCTCAAAAATAAATAAACATTTAAAAAAATGAAGGTAAACATTATTATTATCATCACTCATGCAGTGGGACAATTTGCTGAAATATTGATTTGCATTCCTTTTCCCTTCCCATTCACCCCTCTCTTTTGTCTGGGTGGAAAGTGGAAGCTTCCCAAAGGCCTTAGCCCTAAGCCTGCTGAGACAGTGCCAGGGGTCCCCAGGGACAAGGGCAGCGAGGTGGCTTTTGAGAGCCAGGAAGAAGAGGTGCCATGGCCTGGGAGCGCGAAAGAAAATGGTGTGTGTCCCGAGCAGCAAGGACCTTCATGCAATGCCCTTCAGAGGCGGCAAGACCTCAGTGGGGCTGGGAGGTGGGATGCCGGGCCCCAAGTTTCTAGCCTCGACAGACTCTTGCACCAAACACATCCAGGAAGCAGGAGCCCGGGCTACAAGAGGTCCCTGGGGGCTACAGCATCTAGATGTCCACCCTTACCCTGCTTTCTGGCATCCCCCTAAACCTTCAGGATTCTGCTGGAGAAAGTAGCCGGTTTTTGCCATCCCAGCAGGCCCGGAACAGAATCAAATTGATTTAAAAGAAAAGAAACGACCTGTGTGCCTTGCAAACCTGAGTTTGTAGCTGGGGATTTGTAGCATTACTATTATCTTCATTTAGAGATGAGGGAACTGAGGCCTAGAGAAGCTAAGTAATTGCGTCAAAGCCACACAACCAGTTAAGTCCCTCTCTTTTGTTTTTAATTTAAATTAAATTTAATTAATTAATTTGTTTATTATTATTATTTTTTAATTTACATCCAAGTTAGTTAGCCTATACTGCAATAATGAGTTCAGGAGTAGAATCCAGTGATTCCTCTCCTACATATAACACCCAGTGCTCATCCCGACAAGTGTCCTCCTTAATGCCCCTTGCCCATTCAGCCCATCCCCCCACCCACAACCCCTCCAGCAACCCTCTGTTTGTTCTCTATATATGTCTCTTATGTTTTGTACCCTTCCCTTTTATATTATTTTTGCTTCCCTTCCCTTATGTTCATCTGTTTTGTCTCTTAAATTCCACATATGAGTGAAGTCATATGGTATTTGTCTTTCTCTGACCAATTTCACTTAGCATAATACCCTCTAGTTCCATCCCCGTAGTTGCAAATGGCAAGATTTCATTCTTTTTGATTGCCAAGTAATACTCCGTTGTATAAATATACCACATCTTCATTATCCATTCATCCATCGATGGACCTTTGGGCTCTTTGCATACTTTGGCTATTGTTGATAGCGTTGCTATAAACGTGGGGGTGCATGTGCCCCTTCGAAACAGCACACCTCTATCCCTTGGATAAATGCCTAGTAGTGCAATTGCTGGGTCGTAGGGTAGTTCTATTTTTAGTTTTTTGAGGAATCTCCATACTGTTTTCCAGAGTGGTTACACCAGTTTGCATTCCCACCAGCATTGCGAAAGAGATCCTCTCTCTCCACATCCTCGCCAGCATCTGTTGTTGCCTGAATTGTTAATGTTGGCCATTCTGACAGGTGCGAGGTGGTATCTCATTGTGGTTTTGATTTGTATTTCCCTGATGATGAGTGATGTTGAGCATTTTTTCATGTGTCAGTTGGCCATCTGGATGTCTTCTTTGGAGAAGTGTCTATGCATGTTTTTTGCCCATTTCTTCACTGGATTATTTGGTTTTTTGGGTGTTTAGTTTGATAAGTTCTTTATAGATTTTGGGTACTAACTCTTTATCCGACACGTCACTTGCAAGTATCTTCTCCCATTCTGTCGGTTGCCTTTTAATTTTGCTGATTGTTTCCTTCGCTGTGCAGAAGCTTTTTACTTTGATGACGTCCCAGTAGTTCATTTTGGCTTTTGTTTCCCTTGCCTCTGGAGACGTGTTGAGTAAGAAGTTGCTGTGGCTGAGGTCTAAGAGATTTTTGCCTGCTTCCTCCTCTAGGATTTTGATGGCTTCCTGTCTTACATTTAAAATTTTTATTTTATTTTTGAGAGAGAGAAAGACAGAGCATGAGCAGGGGAGGAAGAGAGAGAGAGGAAGACACAGAATCTGAAGAAGGCTCCAGGCTCTGAGCTGTCAGCACAGAGCCTGACACAGGGCCCGAACCCGTGAACCGCGAGATCATGACCTGAGCAGAAGTCGGACGCCTTACTGACTGAGCCACCCACACACCCCAAAGTCACACAACCAGTAAATGACTGATGCAGGATTGGAAGACAGATCTTTCTAATTCCATAGCCCTAAACCAGTGGTTGGAAAACATCAAACACCTAAAGGGCCTATCAGATAAAGTGAAGGAATGAAGTACGTCAGGTAGAAGAATTCTGGCATTCCAACATGGCCGTGTTTAGTTTGTCCCACTACAACTTGTACCTTGGCCTTGGCATGTGTTGTAGCTGGAGGGGAGCATGGAAAGGCGTGGTAGAGACTATGGCACATTCCAACACTGAGGTTCTGTCTCAAAGGGTTGTCACTGCAAATGTCACAAGCAAAGGGCTTCTATTTTAAAAACAAATGCTGGAAATCCAAATGTTTATGCGAAATCTGATTTGTACACATTTGACTTTTTTATTAAAAAATCAAAAGGAGTCAAGGGGCGTCTGGGTGGCTCAGTCGGTTAAGCGTCCAACTTCGGCTCAGGTCATGATCTCCCAGTATGTGGGTTCGAGCCCCGCGTCGGGCTCTGTGCTGACAGCTTGGAACCTGGAGCCTGCTTCGCATTCTGTGCCTCCCTCTCTCACTACCTCCCCCTCCCCTGCTCCTGCTCTGTCTCTATGTCTCTCTCACGTATAAATAAACGTTTAAAAAATTTTTTTATTCAGAAGGAGTCAAGAAAAATGTGTCTGCCCTCCTTGGGCTGAAGTTTGAGTTGCTGCTGCACAGCTCTGAGCACAGGGCCTGGGGCTGATTTGAACGGGGTCTGCTGAAGCCGGGGCTTGGGAAGCAAGTGTCCTGGAAGCAGAAACCAGAGCCTTCACTGGGAACGGACTGGTTCACCCTATGGAAGGAAGGGAAGGGGTGCAAGTTGGGAGAGGTTATCAAGTCCCCAGTACATTCCTCTCCTCACTTTGGCTGAAGGGGCAACCGTTCATCTCTGTCAGGTGGTTATTCCTGAGAAATGGTAGAGGAGGGGTCTTGGGAAAAGTTCTCTGAGCTCTTGCTGGAGAGGAGAAAGAGGAACAAGCTGGGATCTCCGTGGCGTAGCTTCTAAAAGCCTCCCGGGGGCTGGGCGGCTGCCTTTCTGCACTGCACACAGCCCTCCCACACACACTGGGATGGGGACTCGCCCCAGACCTCTCCCTGCCCACGGGTGCTGCTGACTCAGGCAGCCTCGGGGTCGCAGGCCCAGCAGAGGATGAGGCTCACCTTGTCCATCCTCCCCTCCCCCTCTCCTTCCTCTATGGGCTGGATGAGGAGAATGAGTCGATTCTCAGCGGCCCAGACAGTGCCCCGTCGATGCCCTCAGCAAGGAGCTCTTTGGAAACCCCAGAATGACTTGGAGCCGGAGGCCCTGTTTCCTCTCCTGACCGCATCCTGCAGCTCGCAGCAGGGGGCAGGTGCAGGAGGGGCAGTGCCCATCTGCCTCTGCCTCTGTGGGCCACAACCTGCTCGACGGGGCGCAGGCTGGCTGCAGGCAGGTGAGTAGCTATGGGAAAGGCATATGACCAACTTCGGGGGTCAAGCCAGGCAGCTGTACTTAACTGCCTCAAGGGAAGAGCACCCCCTTAAGAAACTGGGGCTGGGGGACACGGAGTCTAGGGAGCTGCTTGGAGTG